TATAATAAAATTGTTTGGTAAAATTAGCTGATAAGTTAATTAAAATAAAAATTTTAATGAGATTATATGAAAAGCTATTCAAGAAAGTTTATGAGATAAACTCTGAGTTTTTAAAATAGTTGGTCCTATCAAACCAAGTTCATTTGGATATAAGAAACTTATAATCTAATCAAATAAGGTATAAGTTATCTTATATGCTTACAAAACACAACTTTGGTCTTGTAAATCTGAGGGGTAAATTGCCATGGTAGGAAAGAGGGTTGCCATTGGTTGTTAAAAAAAAAAAAAGTTTATTTGTATACTTAAAGCTTATAAACTAATCATATAAGGTATAAATTAACTTATATGCTTACAAAACATAACTTTAGTCTTGTAAGCTAGTACGAACCCCGTGCAATGCACGGGTAAGAGATATTCATTAATATTTAGAAATTAAAATTTTTCATTAAATAATATTTATAAATAAAAAATAAGGGATCAATATGTAATACGATTTACTTATCTAAATTTATTGAAAATTTTATATAAAACTTTGACTAATTCACATTATTTGAGTAATTAAAGTATCTTAAAATATGACTTAATTATTTTTAAATAATGAGCCGTAATTTCCATAAGTGATCATTTGAAATATACCACAAATTGTTAAATTGATTTCTCAAAATAGTAAAAAAAAATTTTTTTTAGAGAAATAGTTACTATTTAAAAAATAATCAAACTTTTATATATATATATATAGAGAGAGAGAGAGATTTAAGGGGTGAAATTGCAATGGTATGAAAGAGGGCCACAATTGGTTATTAAAAATGAACTTTTTAACTCAAATCTCGAACATCACATTCTCACACATCAGATGGAGTTTAATTCACTATACATTACTCACATTATTTTTACATGTCATTTCTCATATCTTCTCTCATATTTTTACATCACAACAATTTTAACTATTACATTTTAAATATTATTTAAATACAAATTCAAAATTCAACTCCAATCTCAACTTAATTTAACTGCGACCGGATACACAAAAAATTGATTTTGACTCGCCCGATAAATTTATTTTATACCATTGATTTTCCAAGTTGCTATCAATATAATTAAAATAATATAACCTAATCATTATCATACAATCTTCAATCAAATCACTGGTCATTTTACATATTTGTAATACTTTTACATCAATTAAATATTTATCAGTACATTTTAACTCATAATCATTAACAAACTCAAAATTAAATTTAAATCTTCACTTAAAATCTCTTTTCATTTTTAATTCAGTTTTATCATTTAAATTAAATTTATCCAACGAAACAATCGAACTTTTAAAATTTAACCCGACCCGCTCAACTGTTGCAACAGACCCAACTAAAACAATCATTCCTCATAAAAAATGAAACATTAAAAAAGGGAAAAAGAAAATCGAAGCTCCCTCGAGTTTAATAATGGCGGACTCCTCATCCTCCTCCGGTAAAATCTGAATTTTCTGTTCCCCTTTTTGTTTGTTCCCAAACAATTGATTTGACTGTAAAATTATAGTAGCAAATTTTCATCTTCTGTGCGCACGGTATAATCAGGGGTTCGTCTTTGGGTTCCTTTTAGCTATAGCCGTTGATTTGATTTGGTTTTGTTAATTTGTAGAATCTCGATTATCGATCTGCACTCGAATGTTTTTTTTTTTTTTTTTTTTTTTTCCAGGAAAATTCAAATCAAAATGGGGAGTTTCGCCTTCAGATGTTTTCTACCATTTTGGCACGAGCGGCATGTCTGTTGCGTCTGCGACGGGCGTCACTCATCCTTTAGGTTCGATTCGTCCTCCTTTTTAGCTCATTGTGTAGTTGTACGCGTACTCGCTTTTTTTCATGTTTTTTTTTTTTGTGGCAAACAGAGGTGCTGATTGGTGGGCTTGTGTTTGATGTGTTTTTTCATGCTTTTTTCCGTATGTTTAGTCATTGTGTCCAAGTTATTCTTGTGATCTTGCTGCGAACTTGCGTTTATAGACGGTTGATTGTGTTGTGAAAATGGTGGGTTTTGAGCAAAAATCGCGTCTCTGCGTATAGTCAAGTGTGATTATGTGTATTTTGGCACAAGGTTCGATTTGTCCTCGCTTTAGCTCATTCTGTATTTCTACGTGTGCTCGCTTTTTTCGTGTATGTTTTTTGCATTCACTATTGATGGGTAGGCTTGTAATGGATGTGTTTTTTCATGCATTTTTTAGTATGTTTAGTCATTGTGTCCAAGTTATTCTTCTGCTCTTGCTGCGAAGGTGTTCTTATCGACGGTTGATTGAGTCGCGGAAATGGTGGGTTTTGAGCTAAAAGTTTTTCGGCTAAATCAATTGTGAATGTGTGATTGCACGATTAGCTGGGATTTTTATGAACTTTGCAGTCATGTATGTGATTTTTGCTTTTTATATTGGCGCTATAGACGTTCTCAAAGTGAGGCTGCAAATGCAACTCGTCGGCCAAAGAGGTCCGCTGATCGGCATGGTGTGTAATCGAACAATTTTTAAATCCCATTTTCGTGAAAGAAAGAGAAAGAAGTTTTAATTGATAATCTGGGACTTGAGCAGAAGTTCGTTCGGTAAATAAAGTTGTTTTTCTGTGGGCACACGCAGGGGAAACTCTCTATGCAAGTAGTGAAAAATGAAGGGCTAAAGTCCTTGTATCTAGGATTGACTCCTTCGTTAATAAGGTCAGTTCTCTACGGAGGTCTTCGTTTAGGATTATATGAACCCTCGAAATATGTCTGTGAATTGGCTTTTGAGTCGACCAATGTCTTGATGAAGATTGCATCCGGAGCCTTTTCAGGCGCCTTTGCCACTGCCTTGACTAATCCGGTGGAGGTTTTGAAGGTACAGATTGTAATTAACGTTAAGGCCGTGAGTGGATATGAATTTTATTGGTTTTTTTGTTAACCATAGTTTAATTTTGAAAAAAATGGTGTGGTTAGTTGTTAATGAGAATTTAAGTTTAAATTAAAATAATATTTAAAATAAAATAATTAAAGTTGATTTGACGTAAAAGTAGGAGAAATATGATGTGAAGTGATGATCAGTTAAAATTTTGAGTTTTGTTTTTATTGTTCATTCTTTTTTTTCTTTTTTTTTTTTTTTNTTTTTTTTTTGGTTCGGTTTTGTAGGTTAGGCTACAAATGAATATGAAAATGGGTGGTGGATCAGTCCAAGAGCTCGTGAGAATTTCCTCAGACGAGGGAATTGGGGCCCTCTGGAAAGGGGTTGGGCCTGCAATGGCAAGAGCTGCTATATTGACTGCTTCACAATTAGCAACATACGATGAATCCAAGCGGGTTTGGCTTTCAAAGTCTCCACTTTCCTATTTACAAAATTCGATTGCTTATGATTCAATATTTTTCCTGTTCATTTTTTCTTTAAATTGTCCTTTTAACATTTTAATCACAAGTGTAGGTCCTGACGAGATGGACTTCTCTTGAGGAAGGATTTTATATGCATCTTTGGTAAGGTGGCTTTACTTTAGAATAAACTTGTTTTCTCTTGCTTTTTTTTTTTAACCCTTTTGTTTGTCATCTGCTTTGCGTAACCTCCATTTATTTCCCCGTAGTTGGGTTGGATTTTGGAGCCTGTAGTTTAGTGTTACTTACACAATCATTAAGTTGCCTATGCTTACTTTAGTTTCGTTGCTTGTTAAATTGGATGTTTTATGGAAAATAAGAGTGATTGCTTTGCTCCTAGCTTAACCAACTTGAGTTTTTTTTTTTTTTTTTTTTTTTTTTTTTTTTTTTTTTTTTTTTTTTTTTTTTTTTTTTTTTTTTTTTTTTTTTTTTTTTTTCCGCTTTCGCTGCTATAGGTTGCGTTAAATAATGCTCACAATATTAGAACCGAATTATAATCCGATGAAAACTGGCATTCAATTCAAGTGACAGGGTGAAAAGAAAAGGTTGGAAAATATCTCTAGAGTGGTGTGTGTGTACTAAATTATAATGGAGCAGTGTAGAAAAAAAATATGACTGTTCGTTGTTAGTTTGATTGAGCAAATTCCATCTTAACATTTTTTATTTTTTTTTCCTTTTCTCTCTTGTGATTCGATGAATATACTTTCCCGTGTGTTTCTAACTACAGTTTACCTTTTTCTAAAGTGCGAGTACTATAGCAGGCACGATTAGTACCATCATGACTACTCCTATTGATATGGTTAAAACGAGACTTATGATGCAAAGAGAATCCAAAAGAGTCGGAAGCTATAAAAGTGGGCTCCATTGTGCATACAAGGTTGTTATTTTCTCTCTAAATACATACTCAGAGTGTGTTTGGTAAGCACCATAATTTAGCTTATAGCTTATTTGGTTGTCTTATGAGCTTCTTGTATCCAAATAACCTTAGTTTGGTAGGACGAACTTTTATAGAAAGCTCTAGTTTATCTCATAAGTTTCATTGCGTAGCTTTTTAGATAAGTCCGTTGAAATTTTTATTTCAGCTAGCTTTATCAACAAATTTTTGTCAACATTTTATCATATAAGCTAGTTTTTCAGCTATAAGTCATAAGCTATCATCTATTATCTCGAAATTCAATTATCAGCTATCAGCTAGCTTATCAGTTAGGTTTACCTAACATAGCTCCTTAGTTGATCAAAAGTAGGAAAAAAAAGTTTTTCTAATATTTACGTTCGACAATCAATATATAAGCTGATGCATCCATTTATTGGTGTATAACTCCAGGTTTTGCAAACAGAAGGTCCTCGGGGTTTATACAAAGGGTGAGTTTGTACTTTGATGCTTTGTTTTACGAAACTTGAAACCCGATTAATTAGCTAACTGTTTCAAGGCTCGGGAATTCGAAACAGGGGCTTTGCTATTTTCGCAAGATTGGGTCCCCAAACGATGATTACCTTCATAGTCTGCGAGAAGCTACGTGAGCTTGCAGGTTTGAAGGCACTATAAAGCTAAGACACATCTCTTTGTTTTTCCATTAATTCCTCATTCAAAATCATTTTTTTTCTTCGGAGTTCGGATTTGGAGTTATATTCAAGACATATGATAAAAATTGGAACAATACGGAGAAAATTAGCGTTGTTACCCGCACGCATAAATTAAGAAACGTCTAATTGGGGTAAAGGTCTTTTGGTTTTACCTTTTACGAATATGGCATAAAATGTCTCCATGATTCCTGTTTTTGACTGATGGTAAGGGCTATTTTGTAGGGCACTGTATTTATGGGGACCAAATTTTAATTTTTTAGGCATGTACCAACGGTAAAAATAGTGACAATGGCTTGTCGTTCTATGACGCTGATGGTTTTTAACTTTTTACTGCCTTTTTTACTTTATGTTTTGTCCCTATTTAGATTTTTTGTTTTATTTTTTATTTTTTGTTTTTACTTTGTTTTGTTTCAGACAATATGGAAAATGACTGATTTTGTACAACTCGGTTAAATAAAGTGATTTTTTTTTTTTTTTTTTGGTTCCCTCCAAAAGAAAAGGCTGGTATAAAAATAAGGAGAGAGATAGAGACGGTCACAAAATCGATCAACTTTAAAGATGCCATTTTTATATACATTATTTATAAAATGTGTGTTGATCTAACGATGAATAATTAATGACGGTATTACGCTATAATTGTCGTCTGTACAATTAACTTTTTATCTTGGGTAAATTCGACCATTCTCAGTAGATATTGTCTCACGGGAATCTTAATTAGGCCACCACACTTAGGGGATGACTAGATATAAGTTATTTTGAATTTGATTGGATTTATTTGATAACGAGAGTTAATTTTGAGAAAAAATATTGAATTATGTTTCAATAGATTTTGAATTTGTAATAAAATAATATTTAAAAAATAATAATTAAAGTTTATTTGTAGTAAAAGTAGGATAAATGTGATTGTAAATAGTGAGTAGTTAAAATTATTTTAGGTAATGAACAATGACTTAGGGAATTAATGTTGATGTGACGTATTAAGATGATTGATTGATATTATTTAATTTAGTATATTGATAATAAGTTTATTACATTGATAATCAGTGTTTTAAATATGAATCGGTAATCATACCAGACAATTCACTGGTACGCAGGTCAACCGATAATAAATATTAAATTAATTTGTTACTATAACGTAAATAATGTATAAAGCTAAATTTAATAAATACTAAAATTATTTTGAAATATAATAACAATGTAAACATATTAAAATTAAGTATAGAACTTTCAATATATATAAATAAATTAATAAAATAAATTTAAAAGTATCTTTAAAAAAGTCAGTATAAAATTTTTCAAAATATTATCAGTATTTTCTTCAAAACGATATTTAGAGTGGTAGTCTTACCGGTCAAATCACCTATATCTAATATGATTTAGTATAATATTTAAAACATTGTTGATAATATTGAATAATGTTGAATTGAATTAAATTTTGAAGTCAAAAAATAAATAAAATATGGGGGTCCAGATAATTTATAACCCCAGGCTATATATACTTTATACACACTCGCATTATTGAATTGGACTGTTAAAACTTTGAATAGATAATTTTGAAAACATTACAGTGGGCCCAGCGTCATTTCCCACCCTTTGTCTTACCGGTTGAGGCTCGGACTGACAGCCTGGCATCTGTGGTACCATTTACCTACTTACCCTTATCTTTTTATAGATCCACGAAAATGCCCTTTGCATGTGTAATATTTTGTTTCCCCAATTATTACGTGTGATCTGATCATCCTATTTTCTTTAATTCCCAAATAACGTGCCAAATATGCCATCAATAAATTTATTTATTTTGAGAAAATGCTCAAAATTAATAAATTTGGCTAATATTTAGGAATAGGAATAGCTCGACAAATCGGGTTGACCAACTAGCTTTGGTAGGATGGCCTTGAGAAAGTTTCAGCCTATCCAGAATTATGTAATCCAGTCAGTGAGTTCGTATTCGAGCTCAATGTACTGGCCGAACTGAATAAGACGATTTGGGGGTCTAAGGACTACAGTATAAGGAAGAAAGATATGAATAAGAGGGAAAGTATTATTTGCTCATGATACATGTCAAGATAGAAACGTGATAAGTTATGAAATATGGATTCGATTGGATCAATTTTCTAGCTAAAACTCCTTCGAGCATCAAGATATCTACGCTATACAAGGGTGTCAAGTTATATTTCATTAAGATATCACATATCTACACTTTTAAGTCATATACTTATATTCTCGTTGACCAAGTTCTGACTTGAGAGTCAGAGGTTTTCGTTGGGACCTCATCCCGGAGTATTACAAGTCACCGGAGCTCAAGGGAGAAGGAAGTTAACGGCGTAGGCGGTTCCACCCAATTTGAAATCAAAGTGACACAACAACATTTACACTATTCAATTGATATATCAGAAGGTATGTTGGACTTATCATGTGGAAATTATCCTCACACTGATTTCACATATTCGATTATACCCACGTAAGCATATAAACACGTGATATAACATGTAACAATTATGCGCGAATATATATGGTCAGACGTTGAATCTCCCGTAAGAATCAAATTGCAGTAGGTGAAGTTTGTCGGTTTAAACCTCACTTAAGAATAGTGTTCATGATGATAGAGGTGAGCAACGCAGTTATGTGAAAAATTGTACCTAACCGAACAAAATAAAAAAAAAATGAACCTAACACATAAAAAAAAAAAACAAACTGTGCCAAAATGCACGGTTCAACTTGGTTTTCAATTTTATCTCGATTTCTATACATTTTATTCAATTTTGGCGCGCTTCGGTGCAAAACGACATTGAATCAACCAAATTTGAAAATCGAACCTATGAAAAATCATAACTGCACCGCAACATAGGAAAAAACCTAATATAAATCAGACCAATTTGTTTAATGCAAGAAATCGAATTGAATCGAACCGCACCGCATTGCACACTCTTGCTCGATTTTTTGATTTCGACTCAATTTTTGCTCACCCTTAGAGCATCTCCAATCTATGACTTTGGGATATTATGTTTTAATACATGTTAATCAATGATTGTAATGTTAATCCGCATTGAAATAATGTTAAAAGATTATAAATTTGAAATCAAACCAATATCTCTAACGCATCAATTTAATAAGAAGTTATTTATATAGGTGGACCAGTTTAAATGATTCATTGATACAAGAATAATAAAAAATTATACTCCCTCCTATTTTTTTTAAATGTCATTCTAGTTTTATCAACTATTTGCTAAATAAATGTCGTTTTGGATCTTTTGTACATATTTTTTCATTATTACCCTCATTTAGCTAATAAATACATTACGTCTTTTCATATTCACTTTTCATTTTTTCTCAAAACATTCATCTCTCTCTTCATTAAATAAGGTTATTATTGACAAAAAAAATATTATTAATTAGTGTGCAACTTCTCAAAACGACATATATTAAAAATAGGAAGTAGTATTAAATATAAAGTTTATTAATGAGTCATCATGTTTAACAAGATGTTAGATATTAAATTAAGAACAACATTGACAACAGTAAATGTCATTTACCTCGAAAAAAATCATGACAAGATGCATTATAAAATAAATTAATGATATGAATGGTTAGATGTTAAATTAAGAACAACATTGACAACATTAAATGTCATTTACTTCGAAAAAAATCACGACAAGATGCATTATAAAATAAATTAATGATATGAATGATTCTTTATAATGTCAAAACTAGTACGTACCCCGTGCAATTCACGAGACATATATATTAAATGAATTATTTTCAGATGACTCTGTTCGTTTAAGTCTAAAAATCAATAGAGTTATCATATATTTTTCACTTTTATATTAGGGCTAGCTTGTAAAATAATTAATATATTATCTATACATATTCAATTCTTTTTTTATCGGTTATACATATTTATTTCTTAATTTGAAATAAAAAAATGTTTGACCAGTTGAGTAATAAATCAGCACTAATTAATTTATGAACCAAGTAAAGACGCAAAGCAAGACAATTTAATTATCCAACAATTTAGGGTAATATATAGTTATTTCATTTATTAAACATGATTTTTAAAAATAAAACAACATCAGCCCCAAATAATAGACAACATTTATGGTTTTGTTGAAAACTAAAATAACAAAATCCTTAATTAATGGGTAGCATCTAATGCTGCCTTTTTTATAAAAAAAAAAAAAGAAAAGTTATTAAGATTGGAATGTAATCAATGCAAAATGATTTTGACCAAAATTTGACTTGATATTTTTGAAAAATGGTAAATCTTTTTATATATATATTTTTTGACCAAAATTTGACGTGATATTTTTGAAAAATGGTAAATCTTTTTATATATATATTGATGGACAAAGTCCACTTTTGGTCCTCCATGTTTAGGGGGTATCCAGACTGAGTTCCCATTATTTTTTGCTGCCCAATTTTAGTCCTTAAAACAAAAAAATGTAGTCCCTATTATGTTTTGGTGCCCAATTTTAGTCCTTAAAACAAAAAATGTAGTCCCTATTATGTTTTGGTGCCCAATTTTAGTCCTTAAAACAAAAAATGTAGTCCCTATTATGTTTGCGTGCCCAATTTTAGTCCTTAAAACAAATAAATATAGTCCCTATTATGTTTTGGTGCCCAATTTTAGTCCTAAAAATAAAAAATGTAGTCCATATTATGTTTTGGTGCCCAATTTTAGTCCTAAAAACTAAAAAATGTAGTCCCTTAACCTCAATTTATGTGA